GGTTTCTCATCCTTCTCCAGAATTTTATTCCCATCAATTTGTCATTCCCAAGAATACTGGCGATTGACATGCAGTCATGGATCTTTCACATCTCAGTTGGTTTCTTAACCTTCCTGGCTTTACCATGGAAAGTTTTCTTATCCTTCAGTGGTCCTTTGCTCTGGATCTTTGGGTGACCAAAGTAGATGTCTCAGATGCTTCTTTTCACATTTCCATCTCCCCTGCATTCAGCCTTTACTTTCAGTTTGTTCCTTAATGTCAGGTTTGTCAGTTCTGTGCTCTCCCTAACATAAACACTGTACATTTTTTGCTGAGTGGTGCATGCTTTTGCCCATCACATTCACGGCTTGAAAACTGGTTTCCTTTAGTTCCATCCTAACAGGCCTTCAACAACCACACTCTTCTCCTCCTTTAAGAGGTGATATGTCTTGGTTGGTTGGTCAAGCTGGAGAAATCTCATCTCACACCCCTTCAATATCTGGTTTATTTTGGGAGTGTTCTTCAATTCACATTTCAGCAGGGCCCAGTTTTTCTGCTTCATTTGAGGGCCATGGAGGGATTGGTTTCCACTGCTGTATCCTCCCATTCTCTTCCTGCAAAAAAGGTTTTCTCTTTTGACAGCTTGGGCTTCTTTGGAATTCCTTATTCTCTTGGTTCATGCTCACATGCATCTTTTGCAGTGTACTCTACATGATCAATGGAACCTTACTTGGGATTCCTTGGCTTTTCTGCACAAAACCAATATTACAGAAGATATTCCTATTCTTCCCTCTTGCCTGTATCTCCATCTTTTTAAAGATGCTTCCCTGACACTGTGAAGTGTCTCAACACTCAACACTTGGAAAATTTTGTGTCAATGTTACCCTCTTTGTATGAATCTCATGGAACTCTTGGTGGTTTGTTAAGCTTTAGATCATTTCCTTACAGTTGTGCATGGCCATTTGGTTATGATCCATTTGGACAGCACTGTAGTTTCCTATGTCGGTTGCCAGTGGGCACTTGTTCTTGCTCTTTGTTTTCATACCCTTGATCTCCTCTTCTGGGCCCATTCCCTACAAGTTCTACTGGTGGCTTGTCATGTTCTAGTATGCCCTAAATCTTGTTGCAGATCATCCCTCGAGGCCCAACCAGACTTTTCCCACGGAGTGGTCCCTCAATCCCCAAGTTTTCAAGTGGCTGTACCCTCATGCTTGTTTCAAATATGCTTTGCCATTTACAACAATGCCAAGCTTCTCTTTTTCTGGTCTCTTGTCCCACATCCATTAGCTTTGGCAGTGGATGCATTCAGCCAGTGCTGGTCCAACCTCTTTCTCTATTCTTACCCTCTATTTGTCTCCTCCCTCATTCAGGACACTCCTTGTCATGTCTTTCTATTGGCACCCTATTGGCTTGCTCAAACATGATTTCCTCTGTTGAGTTTTATACAGTTCTCCTTTCTGCTTCCTCTCTCTGACTTTTCTTTTTCAACCTTATTCTCTCTGCCATCTGGCCATATTGTCCCTCTTACTTCATGTATGGGCTTTGTCTGGTCTCTTTGCATCTAGCTTTCCTTCTTTTCCATTCTGTTTGACCATCCTCCCTCCTTGTCTACCAGCAAAAATGACATGTATTTTGCCATTGGTCACTACTTCATTCTTGCTCCCCATCTCTCTGAATTCTTCACTTGGCTTTTTGACTAGGATTTATCAGTATTGACTGTTACTTGTTACTAAGTGGCTCTTTCTACTACTTTCCAGTTTTCCCATTACCTTCGGGATTTTCCTCCCCTGTTCTCACAATAATCCTCCATTCCTTTCACCTCCCTTGTCTCCCCATCCTTTTTTCCTTCCAGTTTGGGACCTGAATGTTCTTCTCCATGTCCCCCTTCCCCTTTTTGAACTTTTGGATTCATGTTTCTTGAACCATCTCTTCCAATTTTCTTCATCTTTTTGCTTGTGGTCATCGCTGATCGGATATGTATGCCATTGATTCTTTTCTATCACTCATATGCTCTTCTTTGTGTCAATCACACTTTTCTCCTTAAAATTTCTGCGGCACCCATTTTACATATTTATTCTCACTCAGATCCTGATCACCTAGTCTGTCCTACCTGTGCGATCCATTGTTATTTGGCTGGCACTGCTCCCTTTTGTGGTACCAGATTCTGTCTCTTCATTCCTAGGAATCCTTCTTTCACCTGTGATCTTTCTCCCATTACCATTTTTAGATAGCTTCATCAACTAATCTGTTTGACATATTCTTCTTTGGATGGGGATGCTCCTTAACAATTCCAGGTGTCCTCCCATCAAATCAGCACCTTAAACACTTTTTTTGGCTGGTCACTTCCATCATCCATTGGAGGAGATTGTTCTGGCTGGTATGGGACAACTTCTCACAATTTTTCAAACACAGTCCATTATGTGGCCATATCTTCTTCATTGCTATAATCTCTTCTTGCAAATAATACAAAAAAATCCAAAATAAATTATTAATGCTCTCACTACGGGCAGGTCAAAGTGCATATGTCATGACCTTTTAGAGTTACATTTAAAGTTTAATTAAACTAATGTACTGTCATTGTATACAAATAAACTTGGCATCAGAATGTTGTTAATAAATCTAATTTTAATATCATATAAATTTTAACGTTATTATTATAAGTAAATATTTTACAAAATTCTCCATCTCCCCTAGTGACATCTGTTCTTTAGATTTTCCTTCTTTCTAATTTATTTACCACCCCTTTAAGAGGTACAGAATTTAACCTAAATTACTCATTCTAATACAGCTATTACTCAGGCAAAGCATATTTTTATATCCTTCATTCTTATTTGTTTATGGAGCCATAAACTAGATGATCAGACACACTTGCCATGCCCACCTGTCACAACCCCTCTTTCACAAATTGCCAATAGTTCTCTCTGACATTATACTATATGATTTATAACCAACAGAAAGCTAAAGTTTTAATCTATCAAATGGCTTATCATATTACATCATTTTCTGTACAGAGAATTGTCTATTTCACCTCCAGTTCAAAACTTTATTTTCATGGGAATCACATTGATAAGCTTAGCTTAATTTTTTAAAGTCACTTATCTCATAGTTAGAAAGACAGAAAAATTATGATAGTTATAGGACATTGTTTGCTTTGTGCATGTTCTTATTCTGTGTTCTTATGCATTATTTAATTCAATAAAAATTTAGTATAATAGTACCTTTAATATTTTAAAAAATGTAGGTTTAAGTTTTATTGACAGTCAACAGCAAAACCAAGAAGACTGAGGTAAGTACTGTATTTCTTGTTTTTCATGTTTACTCTTTATTTATTATTATTGAAGTAACTAAAATCTAAAAATTCAAAACTTTTAGGTTAGATTTGGTAAGATAATGAAAAATAATAATAATTGTAAATAAACTTCACGTGGTATGCTTGAAAGCAGCTCATGCTGTACGTATTTTGATAAAGTAACCTAATTTACATGTTCACCAAGTGATTTACAACTTGTGTTGGGATTATTAGTTAGACATGGTTCAAAAGGCAATAAAACTGAAAGTTAAGTAGAAACAGATACATATTCTTTCAAGCTTTAAGCTATTTATAATAACTATATTTTTCTGGTACAATTTCCAGTAATACTAGAAACAAAAAAAGGATAATTTAGATTTATTCAATGTTTTCTTATGGTGGTTACAAGGTCAGTCAATTTGAACAAATGAGTATAGTGTTAGGTTAAAGAAAATAACAGATAAAATATAAATATTTGCACAAAAAGTTTAATATTTATTTAATAGGTTTTAGAGATTATGCAAATAAAATTTGGCAATTTTCAGATGAAGAAAAGTATTTTTAATCTTAACATGAAAATCACTTTGCACTTAGAGCAGTTAACACTGACTCCATATATTCACAAAGAAATTTTTAGTAAAAATTATACTTTTTTGTGTACAAAAAATCTTGTATTGTTTACTGAAAGCTTGCAAAATTTTGTGAAGATACACAAAACATATTAAAAGTTAGACTATGGAAATTATGATGGTCAGTTTGGGGGTCACGAATTTGGTCAAATAAACTGAGTCTGTAGCAAAAGAGTTAAGAACACAGCCTACAACACCAGTAAAGTTTGTTATAAAAAAAGTAAAAAGTAATTATTTTTTGTGAGAACTTTGTCAGCTCTCATATGACTTAAAAAAAATCAGTTTAAAGCAACTATATCATTTTGCATTAATATTAACATTACTTGAATCTTGTAGCCTCTAGTGTTGACTTAGTTAATCTAAATGTTAATATTTCCAAAACAACATACAGTGTATGAATATATTTTAAAATTTATTACTAAGCCACTAATGATACTTTTGCTCAGTTGTAATAGAAATTTTGTTCCTAGTATCTCCACATTAATCAAATGTGAATTTACTATGCATATATTCATGAGATGTGGCAAGCTTTTAGCAAAGTAAATAAATCTGTTGTACAAAAAAACATCAGATGAATTACAAAAGTGTTTGTGCTTAAGATGTGTCTGTGAATTGATAATGTCACTCTGACTGAGACTTTGAAAGTCAAAGTAAAAGGTAATGCTTAAGTGAGGAATACAAATATTCTTATCCATCATACAGTCTGTGTGTGGGATTGACATAACCACTAGAACTTCTGAAATGCATATCTACAGTTTTTTCAGTATCCTTATACTTTTTATCTAGCATTTAAACTCCTTTACAGGAATTGTCACTATGTCAGCAGGGTAGAGTAAAATTAATAGGAGATAACTTTGACATCAAATACATAATGCCATGTTGAGTGACACCCTGTAAAAGTTCATGGTATGCATACTTTAATCCCCACCCATGCACATGGATTAAATCATAAGCATAAGTGCACTGTTTGACATAATGTTTTTAACAAACTTAAAAGGATTTAATTGGTACAGTAACAATTAAAAATATACCCTGTCTAGGGATTTTTAGTCTTTTCTCATATATTCGTCAGTTTCCTCATTCATGTGATTTTTGTTTTATAGTTTTCTGATTTTACCTGGAGGCTGGAAGGAATACAGTAACAGATATGTCATTTTTTGAGGTTACACCCATTCAAAACATTTTGGAGAGTTGATGAATCAGGCAAAAGGTATTTAGATATTTTATAAATGATTTGGGCAGTTTTCATAATGAACAAAGGCGAAATGGACAGCAAATGCCTAGTTGAGTGTGACAATTGTGGAGAAAGTTTTGGAGGTCTAATCTACAAAAGTTGCTCAAATGGAATGAACAACATTTCAAAAGATTATTGTCTTTCATCTTCAGGTCAAACCAGAAGGTGAAAGATGTAAGTCTTTCAAAACATCATCCTTTCCATCTATGTTACTTTTGTAGATTAGTCCTCCAATACTTTATCCAAATGTGTTATACCAAAATAGGTATTTGCTGCCCATTTCACCTTTCTTTGTTTTTATATTGACCTGTTAATCTTTTCTTTCACTTGCATCATTTGATGACAAATTGGTAACTAAAGTACACACTAGGAGTTTTAATCTCCAGTATACAAAATTCAAGTATTTATTTTTGTGATTTAAAACGTTAAGCCAAAGAATAATCTGATTGTCTAGAACTTGTGAAGGGAGATATGTTGTAGAAGAAGACTGAGTACCTTGCTAAAAGATTAATGCAAGGAATGTTGAAAATGTTAACATTCTGCTTATTTATGAAAACATCAGCATCTTTATCTAACAAAAAACTAGCACCCTCAGGCCTAACAGAAATTGGCTCATGATTTAAGATAGTATAGACATGAGAAGAAAAAATGAAATAAGACTGGTAGAGCTTCTTTAAAATTATTAGTAGCAGAAAGATCAATTAAAGAATAGGCCTGTGCAAAAGATCAGGCTAGTTCACTAAAGTGAGAAAAAGTGGGTGTCCCACAAAATGAGCATCCACACAATTGGGAAAATGAGCTGGTACACCAACAGATGCTTCAAAACTAACATCCCTAATATTCTAATGAGACCTGACAGTGCACCTTGGGATCTCCCTGCACATTAAAAGGTCATGTGAATAAGGCTTCCAAAAATTTGAAGGAGAGTACAATTTTCTGTATTCACCAACATATGTTAACTTCAGAGTTAACATTAACTTCAGAATTCATGAGGAAAAAAAATGAAGGCATCAAGTTTACAGAACAACTATAAAAAAGAAAATCTGGCTTCTAATAGAAAAGCAGAGATTTGGTATTTTCCCTTATACTTGCACAATAGGTCAAGTGGAATCTAGGAGAGTGGGAAACTTTGGGTAATGTAACACATGTAATACATTGCCTCGAGAATATTCAGAATCAAATGTCAGTTGTTGACAGAGCAAAAACAACTCAAAAGGAAAAGGCTTATAGAATTTCAGAGGTATGTCTTATCTGATTTGAATTATATATATTACATTGAACACATATATAACCATGCATCAGTTATTCATATACATGTACCAAATGTTTTAATGACCATCAGTCCCCATTCTGTTGGTGAGACAGGTGTGCCATGTTTATTTATGACATACAATACAAAGAATGTAAAATAATTTGTAAATCAATTCAGTTAAGTAATTAACATATCTGTACTAAAAAAAAAAAAGTGAATAACACTTAGCAAAAATAATTGTGATAGTGTGTTACATTCAGAGCCAAATAATTTTACTTAAGATCAGTGTGGTAGGTCTGCAGAATAACTGGAGATTCATTCAGGATACTTATTACTGAATTATACTCAATCTCAGAATAACTGGATCATAAGAAGGAATAGACACAAATATCAAAACATGCATACTGAAGTTCCCCGGTGGGACAGCAATGAGTCTATGAACTTACAGTGCTAAAATCTGAGGTTTGATTCCCTGCAGTGGAAACAACAGATAGCCCAGTGTGGCTTTCTTCTAAAACAAACAAACAGACACACATAATGAAACAATCTTTATTCAAACTCACTAACACAATCAAAATAATGTGTCTACAGAATAAAGGACAATGCCTTTACTGTTTAGTTATCTTTATAAATTGTCTTAAGAACTTATAAAAATGTTTAATAAGAATTAGTTAATGTTACAAGTTAAACTTTGGGAGAGTATTATTACTACTTACAAAGAAAGGACTCAAACTTCACTTACCAAACTGGGGGCTTGAGTTTGAGAGCTAGCTAAGAGATCATAGTATTATATACCAAAAATATATAACACTATATTTTTAGGATGTTTGCACCACTTATGTCAATGTTGTTTAATCCTGTTGAAACACAAGGGAGGTCTAACCTCAAGATATCACCTGTCCTACCATTGGAGGACTCTGCTGTTGACATTCTTGCACAAAGTGCAGCATTACAGTAATATCCTTCCATGGGCAGAACAGGTATTATCTCCAGAGAATAACAAACAAATAAATGTAACTAGAATGAAATAAACTTAATGGCTTTCTCAACCACATGTTATATGAAACCTGCATATACAGAATCAAGGATAAATTTAGAATACTATTGTACTACAAGAAGGTAGGAATGCATAATATATTTATATATCCTCTCCTTCTTACTTCAGGCTTATGCTCAAGTTGACAATTAATTTTAACTTTAAAACCAATGAACTTTAAGCTTTCATTTTGGTTGATAAATGCTTACATTTTTACTTGCCCCTGAAAACATTTACACACACTACAATGATATAAGAACACATTAAAAAGAACCCTTTAACAAAGATTATCACATCTAACTTTACAATACAATATGTAATTCAAACTTTTCCACATCAGCATGAGATGAATTGTTATACCACACTTTGGCATTAGAGATCAGAATGACCCTTTTAATACATATGCATAAATAATCAAATCATAATCACACCACAAAATTAACCCTTGATAATGCAGAAAAATATACAGCAATGCAAGTTCACTAAAAGAATATTGTATAATATTATTAATAATTTCAATTTTAGCATGGGTACCACAGATACAATAATGCAATAACTCTAAATAGAGATATACAATACTAATAAATACATATCCTTTAATTTAAACAGAAAAGAAAATGAAAATATTTCCCCCTGTTCACTTAGTAGTAAGTCTGTGGACTATTATGCTAAAAACCATGTTTCGTTACCTGTCATGGGCACAGCACATATAGCCCATTATATAGCTTTGTGCTTAATGACAAAAAACAAAAACTGAAAATGCCTTGCACAAAACACTTGCACAAGCAAATAAACAGAAAATACATTAGAAAAATAATAACTTCAATACATATATATACATTAAAACAAAATCCTTTAAAACTTTCTGAAACATTATCTACATACACATGTACAAGTAGTAGCCACAATACAAAATCAAAAACTTTTTTACTGAAACAAATAGATAAAACTAATGTAAAAGAAAAATGTAAGAAATGGAGATATATATATATATGATATGTACAACCCTTTAAATTAATAAAATAATATATAAGTTTACCCAATAGCAAGCACAAGATCAAACTCACCTCTCCTCAGACCCTCCAAAGTGGTGGTTGGATGCCATAGTGTCAAGGATAATATCTGTGTCTTGGACCAAGGCTTTGTTTGTCTGTGCCAGCTCCATGTGTAGTTGGTAGACTTCTTCCATTTGAAAAAGCAGAATGTTCTACAGTTTGTTCTCTGTAGTAGTTGACCAAGCATTTTACCTTGGTTTGTCTTCTTTTGTTTTTTTAATTCTACTTTTTCAACTTGTTCGTACAGTCAATCATGAATTTGGAATTTTGTGTCTCAACTTCAGCTTCTATTCTTATTACTTTGAGTGTCGTTATACAGGCTTCAGGTCAGGGGGTCTCAGCTGAGGATTTTTCATCCATCAAAAATCAGGAGATTGATCTTCACATGAGCTGACCCTCTTCTACTGACAGTGTTTGGGCTCCTCCTGTATCTGGCAAATTTATTCCTAATGAGAAGGATTTTGGCTGTCTTTTTCCACCTCTTACCTATGCTATGCACTCCCATTCCTCTTCTGAGGAATTAGCCAGGCCTCCCTCAGCCTTTTTGGACATGATTTCTCAGGTTTGTTACAGTTTTGATCTCTTTTTCCAATTTCTTATGATCCTATCCTTTCCTTGTTACAAGATGCCTGATTATCTGATTACCTTGTCTTCCCTCCTTCTCCCAATATCAGGGTACATGCTGAGCATTTTCTTTCTCAAGTGAGAGCTGATGCCAGCATGCCTCGTCCACCATGGGCTTCTGATCACTTTGCATTGGATGTCGTCAGGCCGATCATCCTTTTCTTGACTCCCAACAACTGGAGTCACTTTTGCCTGTGTGGGGGCAGACCCTAATAACTCAATCTATTTAACCCACACCCAGTTTTCACAACTTCATCTAACTCTTACATCTCTCCTGTGGTACCTTTCCTCCATACACCTACTTTCTGAGGCTCTCCACCAATTCCCTGAAGGGTTTTCAGAGGATGACTTACCTCATTACCTTCAATCATGTTGGCATGATTATCCTCCTCTGCCTCATCCCTTCACTTGTGGTTTCTTTGCCGTTGAGATCTCCTTGGTAAGGATACTGTATTGTCTCAGGTTTGTCTACCTGCTACATATCTTCATGACCTCAGTATGGCTTCCTTTCTCCATAAATCTGTTTTTCAAGATATTCCTGAATCTTTGGAGTCATGTGTGGAATCTGTGAGGCAACGCTCACCCCTTTCTTCTTTAGTTGCTCATTTGTCTCAGCCTGCTCCCATACCATTTTTAATACCTGGTTCCCATCCTTTGCAACAACCTGCTTTCTCCAGGGATATGTCAGTTCATCATTTGGCAACCATCGTGCTCATCACTGCCAACAGTTCTGGAGACTATCAAGTGGTTTCCTCTTCTCCTTCAGCTCCAAACTACCCCTGTTACCTCTTCTGCTCACTCCATCCCATCTTGGTAACCAGTCTATTATCTTGCTATTCACACCATCCAGTCCCTCACGAGGAGAAATGGATTGTCAATGTGTGTTGCTTCCCTTTTAGCCTGGTCCATTTGCCCTTCCTCCTTTGCAGTTTATCAGTGTGGGGTTTTCTCTTCTCAACCCACCATTCCTCTCCTTAAGGATTTTCTTACCTGGTTGTTTGACCATGGG